GTGCACTTCAAATACGAATACTGTGTGGAAGACAAGGCTAAGTGAATCCCACTGGCATCGTGAGTCGTACTCATGTAATTGTGGTAAAATTTAAATGTCAATTCTATATGAACTTATGCGACCTAGGATGAATATCATAGTAAATTTTTACCTCGTTACCCTATAAGTTTTTAAAACCTGAAATAAATAGACCTCGCTATTTCAATTTACTTCCATCAGGCCCTTTTACCAAGTTTCGATCCTGCTTAGATATCGGCAGCATTAAACGAGATTTGCAACCCAGCCATGCTCACCCTAGGTACACGTTACCATTCCGCTACGCAGCCACTCATACGAATAGATCACAGAGCAGATGGGATTTTTAAGACAACCTAGGCCGCCCAAATCACATTTATAGTGGGATCATTAATTAGAGAAACCTTTTCTTGCCATTACTAATGACGACATCTATATTTTGTGTTTATATCAACTCTTATCTGACATTTTAAATCAAATTTTTCTTATTGTCTACTTAAATCTCGATTTTATGATTTATTTCACATTCCTTAACCAGCTATCTGGGCGACCATTACAATATAACCAGTGTTACTACTAAAGGTGTTGCGCAGTTGGTTGGGCGCCGCCTTTCTAATGGCCGAGTTGACGTTCGCGGTGTTAAAGCTCATTTTAATCTGGACTATAGTGGCATTCTTGTGCTAACTGGTGTGGATGTATTGTTTATTCCACGTGATGGAGTCGCTGCCGAACCTCAAAAAATCGAAGAACAAGAGAAATCAACTTTTCAAAGTAAGTCAATGATTAATTCTTAATCACTTGGTAAATTGCGCAAATTTATATTAATTTTTAAATTTTAGTTGAATCGGGTTGTTGATTTTAGTATTTATGATAGTAACTCATTCTTTGTTTTTATATCAATTTCGTTTTTTTTAATTTATCATTATAAACACTCCAAAAATTTACTTGGAAAATAATATTAATTTGGTCCTAAATTGGAAAAGAGCGAATAAAAGTAAGAATATATTCAATCGACCTTGAAGTATCAGAAATTTACGATATTTGACCTTATCCTGCACACCATGAGAGCACCCTGAAGAGTTAATCATTTCATTAACGGTATGAATGCATAACATAACATTGCTAATGAAACTCATACGAATAAGTGCATTATAATGAAGTTAACACGTTTTGATGAACTTTACGAATCTTCTCATCGATGGCATCTTCAAAAACTTTGAAGATATAATTCGTCATCAATACAATCTGAAGAACTTAAATGTAGTAGAAGATTCATTCTAATGAGATCTGCAGTTCCGATCAAAACTTTACATAATGAGTTAGCCAAATTAATGGCCACATTATATTTGTTATCAATTGTTTTCTCTTGTATTGACGGCCAGCCTGATCTCCACATATTAAAGAGTATGTTTGATTTTGCAAGGAATATTACGTTGCTAACTATTATTTTAATCGAAGGTACGAAGACCAAGATGGTGTTGTGTAGGAATTGTCTGATCTTGTTTTCGTAACTTGATCATATTGGTAGGAAGACCAAGATAAACACACCTATTCCGGAGTCCATTATATGCATCGTAATTTCCAGAGTCGGACCATGGACATGGTACATTTCCAGATTTTTCGCCGGAATCGTCAGCAAGCATTTCCAGTCTTAGCACCATACTACAACTCTTCCATGAAACAAGTTGAGCCGATCCTTTGATAAATTGTCTGCTAAACAATCGTGGTATCTCTTCTTACGTCATGTTCTAATGATCAATCCTATATCTTCGTATCACGCCTTCACTATCATAATTTTTTACTTGCTTACTTAAATGTGGTATGATGTTCCCTTTTGAGCGGATTTCATGAGAGTTCTCCGAACTCTATGCTGGCTTTCTCAGCCCCCCTCACAGTCTTCACCCTTCTACTGGGAATGTTGATCAGAGTCTGCCATATTATTACGCAGTCCTTCTTCCATAGGTCTTATCAGAGTCTCGCTCTTGCCCTGTAGGATCCGTATAATCGCCTTTGTTCAAGTCTTTCACTCGACACCTACCCCATCTGTGCAACTCGAGGTTTTATTTCCCACACTGCCTTTGGGAGACTAAAGTGAGGCTAAAAAAATCCGAGTAATTCTCATAGTCAAGCCTTTGCTTCATGAACCACGTTTATGATCAAACACGTCTATTATTAGCAAACTAGCTCTAGTCACCGCCGCATCTATCTTGCTTCAACCCATAGTGCCGAGTCTATGACCTTCTATGCCCTAGTCTCTTGTGTACCAACCCACAAATCCTATGGTTCTACTTGTTTTGATTAGGTACAAGAGAGAGGAGGGATGAGGGCATAGGAAGTCATAGATTTCGCACTGTAGACGGATCTTACTGGGCAAGAGTGAGACTGATACGAGCTAGGGAAGGAGGACTGCGTAACAATATGACAGACTCTGATAAACGTTCCGAGCACAAGGGTGAGGGTGGTGAGGGGGTGAGAAAGCCGGTGTGGAGTGTGGAGAATTCTCATGATAGCCGCTCAAAAGGGCACACCATACCTTATTTAAATCAGTAAGTAAAAATTGTGATAGTGAAGACGTGATACGAGGATATAGGATTAGCGGTTAGCACACGGCGGAAGGAGAGATAGCACTATTGTTTAGTAGACAATTGGTCAAAGGATCTGCTTCACTTGTCTCTTTGACGAGTTGTGATGTGGTGCTAAGAATGACAAGGCTCACTTACGATGCTAGTAAAACGTCTTGGAATGTACCACGTCCACTGCCCGACTCTAGAAATTATCATGCATACAATGGACTCTGGACTAGGTGCGTTCCTCTAGGTCTTCCTACCAATATGATCAAGTTGCGAAAACAATATCAAACAACTTCCACCATTTTACTGATAAATTAGTGTAAACTTGTATACCTATGCCCTAACCAATTTTCTGACGGCCTTCGAATAACAACGAAATCTGTCACTTCGTTCTATCCATCCTAACGTGCATCCATTGCCTATTATAGAACTTGGCAGCACCATAAGCGGCCTTTTTGGTGGTTCATCCGATAAAGCTCCTGTCGCTGAAGGGAATAGTGATCGGCCTGTCAAAGATACTGCTTCTTCTCGCTCATCTGTAAATGTTAGTACCTTCTGTTTTTTGAAGCTAAACTTAATATATGTCAATTAGTTTTTTCAATTTTTATTTATTGGTCAGCTTTTTTCTTGTATTAAGATGTATTTTTATCCAAATAGCTTTTAGTTTATTTAATCAATTCTATTTGCACAGTCAAAAAATAAATTTGGTCTAATTCTATTTCCAATACTTTTTAAATCAAGGTTCGTTTGCATTAGAGACAGTCTATACATACCATCATACACATTGATTTTGCTGATTCAGCTAATAAATATAACACTATTCATATGCATAACGAATGAGTTTCTATATGCACCTTGAGGTTTTCCTACTTATATGCTGATTTGTTGCATTCGAATCTAAACGATAAAATAATTTCCTTTATCTGCCGACTGTTTACCATTATAATGAATATGGATATGGGTTGAATCTTTGATTGATTTCTATCTTTTTTTAGGACAGATTTATTAAAAGCTTTATCTATGATATAAGTAACTTCACTCTAACATGTTTTTTATCGAATAATTTTAGAAAACCTTAACCAAATCATAACTATATCTTTATGGACCTCTCTTAGACTTATTCATGTTTAGCACTGACATCCTTCGACGATATTTTACTTGATAATGAATTTCGAGACTATCGGTTTTGCTTGAATGAAAGCTCCTGTCACCCTAGGTCGTATAAGATGGTGAAGGACTGATAATTTAAAGTTTTCATAGGGATAAAAGGGCGTGCAGTATAGACTCAGGTGAGTTAGAAGCTTCATTGGCATAAAAATACATTTTGAGCGTCACCAGTAAGTAAAATTCAATAGAATCGTCAGGCCTACTCAAATAGTCGTGGAAAATTTATACTATCAGCCCTTAATATACTTGTGCTATCTAGATCGCCTCACTAAAGTATATTCTGGGTTGTCACTCTTATTTTTGCCTTATACGCAATTAAATTAACTGACGGTTGTAACTTTATTTTATTTGGAATGGCCTCATGGCAAACATAGGTAAGTTTATATATGAGGTGTGTTTATTTTATTTCGCTTAGGGTTATAAGGGACTGGTATTTGAATTTTCCCACACTGATATGAATAGACATGACGTTTCCATTAAATTTCACATAATCTTGCTTTCCCAAAAGTTATTATTATCCAAGCTTGACTACAGTTTTGACATCGCCTAAGTCTTATCAGCATCCATAGCTGCACTCGGACCTTGACGCTACTGCTTACGATCTCGACAGGTTACCCTCTACGCCACTGCCACGAGTACCTTTGGGCCACATGGCAGATATGAATTTCAAAGAAGGCCGGTCATTTCCATATATCACATACTGTAGTGGGATTGCCGATAAAGCAAAGTTGTATTTGCTATAGCAATCAACTACGTTACTTATCTTTCATTTAAAAGTCGGCTTTCATGATCCTTAACAATATAGGATGAACATATCCCATATATATGATCTACTGGTAGTCTAGAAAGTCTACTTATAAATTAAAGATAGGGAAGATTGTCTTTGAGTTGCTATAAATCTAGTTTTAATTCGAAGGCGTTACTCTACTCTCCTGTAGGGCGAATTTACGAATTTCTTCTACTCTTCTTTTATAGCGAGGTAAAATATACAAGTCAACCTTATTTCTTGCGAGTTGCAAATATTTACTTATTTTCATCAGGATTGTCTTAATTTGGGTTTGTTTCATTGACCCTCAAATGATAGTATATGCATTCTATGCTAGTTAATGTTCTACATATTGCCATCTTATCAATCATAATCTGCAATAATTAAATCATATTTCCCTTAACTCTATAGGCATGCTTTCATTGACCTTTCTTTATTCTTACAAACCACTCGCATAAAACAGATAGACATATACAAGCAACTTCTGACACGATTGGAGATTGTCGTAAGACTTGTCAGACACTTTCTTGATCATTGAATAATACATTTTTATTTGTATGATGGTGTAGCCTTTTGTGTGGTCTCAGCCCCCTTTCGTAGTATAGAAGTAGTTTGACCTTGTTTTCCCAACTTGGTAATATTGGAAAGAGGACTTGGAGGAACAACCTCGTCCAGAGTCTAATGTATGCATTATAATTTCGAAAGTCTGGCAGTGGACGTGGTACATTCCCAGACGTTTCGCCGGCATCGTAATCAGTGACTCTTGCCATTCTTAGCACCACACTACAACTCGTCAAAGAGACAAGTGAAGACGATCCTTCGACCAAACGTGTGCTAAACAGTTGTGGTATC